TACTGGTTCGAGGGTAATGTGAAAGGGAAACTTATGAGTCGGGTGCATCTAGACGGAAGGAAACGAAAAAGGTTTTTGGTCCAAGACGATCGGAATCGAAATGGCGGAGTTATCTTCCCCCAAATTAACAATTTGACTATTTTTGCATCCTTTTACCGTTTTGGGGTCTAGCAACTTTGCCGTTTTGACTCTCATCTGATACAAGTATATAAGACATTTCCTTTTTAATTCTAAAAGAGGAATCTAATACTTCACAGCTCGGAAATATTCCAAACCTCATCTATCGCCAGGTTCTTTCGCGATTTAGAAAGCTCGTAATTTGTCCAATCCAAAACATACTAACTTTTAGCGTGGTCGGCTGCAGTGTATGGGGGGGGGAGTTTATTCTTACACACACAGAGACAGACAAAGACAGTCAAAGTGATACTTTGAAGATTGTTCCAGTGTAATAAACACACTATGGATTGTCCACTTAATTATTTATATAGTCCTAACTATCTACAGCAGAGTACCGTCAGGATATATCACCGTAACGGTGTGGATTGTAGCACAGAAATGCTGTAACAGACCTGGCGACAAATAACGGGGTGGTCCGTAGGAAATTGCCCTATTTTTTCGAACAGTGCGAGAACACCCGACCACACGAAAACAGACAAATTCCGACCATCCTTTGGACGTGACATGCTATTGATTTTCTGAGTTTTTCTACCGCTCTAATGGATTCTGATGGCGTAAGGAGTAGCGCAGAAACCTGTTACTGCAAACAACCACTGTACGACACATCGAAGTCAATTCGATATCGATTAAAACATCCATTTCTAACTGGGTTAGCCCCTCTGCTGGCTTTTGGAAGCATTCAGGAAGGTGAGCTATGAACAATAAGCCTGCCAGCAGCTCCCGTGCACGTATGTCAAAGTCATGCTAAAATACATACCCAGATAGAAAGACTCGAAGCGTCACACGTTACTCCCAAACTGTTGCATTGGCTATAGCTCTCGTATGCCAATGCCAATTCCCTGGTAGAGAAGCCAACTAAGGTAATTGCTTCGCACGAATCGTTACCGCACAGTGCTATATTAATTGATGTCATGCCGGTTTCGAAGTTAACGGTTGCCTCCAGTATATCGCCAACTGCTATCTCATCTGCAACTAAAGTATGACAAGTATAAGTCAGTTGTGCCGGTTAGCTGAGCAGTAGCGAAGCCGCGGTGAAAAAATTGCTGAGCTGGAAGCGCTTTTAAGTTAGCAAAGCAGTCTGGAAGCTGACGTAGCTGGCTTTATGCCTGAGTTAACTGGTTTTCACACTGTTAAACAGAGTTGTAAAAAAATCACTTTTGAAACAATACAGCTGTTAATAAACAACAAGTGCTTCTTTCATTTGATTCCTCACGAAACTTGTGCCATCCGGCTTATATTGGCCCACAACAGAAACTACCTGGTATTAGTTTGCTATAAATGTACAAGAGGAGAGTGGTTAATTTTGTTAGCAACAGATTTTCGTTCATAAACAACACACTCGTAATATTACAACTGTTTTTTCCAGGAGCAAAACAAAAGTTACTGTTTTTGGTCAGAAACTTTGTTCCCGAGATTTTTCTCAATGTTGTTTTTTTACAACATGTGTTGCTAACAAACTTAGCTACACTTTCGTTGTTAATTTACAACAGTTTTTTTAACAGTGCAGGCGCAAATAACTGAACACTTTTTAAGCTATACTTTTTTGTTACTGTCAGCTAGTATCAGTTAAAGTCAGCATTTAGCAGTTAGATTTGGAGGTGACTGAAAGCTGAATCAGAAAAGATCACCCAAATCAGGCTGATCGTGTACTGTGCTACACCTGAAACATACTGAACGGCAGTCAGTTTGTTGTAACAACTACGTAGTTGTAGGTCAGCTTGATTTAGGGTACTAATATTTTACTGATCTTAACTGATTCAGCTTTCATTCAGCTTTCAGTCAGCTCGAAATTTAAGTGATAAATACTGACATTAACGAAAAAGTATAGCTGAAAAGTGTTTACCTATTTGCGCCCAAAAAACAGTTAAGTCTGGGTTAAGGCCAGCTACGTCAGCTTACGGACAGCTTTACTCAGTTAAAAGCGAGGGGGTAATCACTACAGAAAGTAGGTGTGCTTGATGTACTATATTCCATGTCGAGTTTTTACAAATCAGATTGTCGGCATACCTCACTCCACAAACAGAAGTTTCTGACATTCGAACACATTAAAGGGCGCGCCAAAATGTCACACTCAAAAGAGTGTGGGAACAGTGTGTCATGCAGAGAAAAGTGTGTCATATAGTACTACTAGGTGATTTTCCAGATTTATAGATTTTCCTGAGAATCCCAGGGCCGGAAGTAATAAGTAAAATGGAATCAGAAAAAGCGGAACCAGAAGTTGAATGCTAGCCGCTAGACTATGATAAATACGTGATTCTCTTCCATTCATTTGGTTATTCTCAAGAAAACCCGATGAAACCACGTTTATTTCTCATACCCCGACACCTCGCATGCCACCGCTGGCTACGCTTTTTTTTATTTCATTTTACTTCTCACTGTCGGTCCTGAGATTCACTGAAATATGCCCTATAGGCATTGACAGACACATCAAGTTTGGTTGCACGCGCTGTTAGAGTGATGTGGTTAATTGAAGTTCCTATTGTTTTTTCTTGAGGCAAAATTTCCTTGTTTAGTGTGCGTACAATTTTAATGGTGGTGTTACTTCTAGATCCCTGACTACTCGTTATTCAAAATTGAACTGTGCTTTTCATTTTCTGTTATCGACAGGAGTATGGTTTCTTTCCAATTTTCGGATTTGAGACCTCCTGATAAGGACTTTTCAATTTTTCTGCTCATATTTGGCGTAAAAGATCATCTAGCGCCTAATAGGTCGTGGATACAGAAAAACAGACGCAGTTTCACGAGAATAGCTTAACTTTGGTTCTACTTACCAGCGCAGCCATCTACCTCATCAGACGCATCGCTGCAGTCTACAGAACGGTCGCAAAGACGGCCCTGAACACATTGAAAATTGGCACAATGAACCAATGACGCCTCTCTGCACCCATCTGCCAAACAAGTGTACAAGCAAAGATTTTTGAACAGTGCCGAAAGACTTGAACAACTTGCATGTAGGAGAGTGTGTATCACCGATTTAACTTTAATGTTCGATGAAGGCTTTACCTCAGCCAAACCCTGTTCTATAAAATCTTCTAGCAGGAACCTTCAGGGTACAAATGAAGACTAATTGTATTCGCAGAATGGTGTGTTTTTCTTAAGATCTGCCATTTGCATCGCTGCCCCAAAAGACTAGCCTATCTGTTATGCGGCGCTCTTTGCAGCGCTGTCTCCTTCTCATTGTGGTTTTGCTAATATTGACAGTAGAAAACAAGTTGCAAGGTGTACCAAATGAATTTGCTACATAATAAATCTGCTCGTTCTGTACGGAATTTGTTTTGTGCTTGCCAGGGCACGTTGTTTTTGGTTATGTGCATGTAGCGCCTGCAAAGCAGTAGGTAGGCAATCCCGCCATGCAGTCATGTGACATTGGTGGTGGTACGTGATGCTGGTAGGAGTTCTGGTTCCGGGGTTTGAAATGGCGGTGAAGTCTTCTTGCCGTATGTTCACGGCAAAAAAATTGTCCCCGGATTCAATTAAACTTTTTTTGCATTTGGCATTTTACATTTGGTGTATGCCTAGCGTCCTAGGTGGCCCCATTCCTGGGGCAAAAAGTCTGTTTTTTCACTTTTGAAAAATAAGGAGAATTGAGAATTTGTAAGTAGGGATGGGGAGTGGGCTGGAACTTGTGAGTTGGCACAAGCATCTATGAGATGAAAAGATTCAAATATTGTTTAAAATA